GCTGCTCCCCAGTGCATCAGGGAGCACTCTTCAAAGTCTCTCTCCTGCTACCACTGGCAAATGGCTTTTGAGTATGATTAATCAATTAAAGTTCCACAAAAGGTAACTATTTCACTGTCACTCGCCATTAGCATGTCTCCTGCTGACACATCTCCCCTCCCAGCCTCTTTTCCCTACTACGTGACCATAAAATGGTTTTCCTCCATGCCGTGACTGTGCTACAGAGCACTGCTGTGGCTATAGCTTAGATAATAATTAAGCTAAGTAGTTCTTTTGTCTGGTAACCCTATAATAAAGAGTATTTTTCCAGGTAAATGGAGTAGAAGTGTTTGAGAATTAGAAAAAAAGCTCCTGTGGCTTTGTTGCTTGGTATTACCCAAAACAATGTATACACACATGGAAGTTTCAGTAAAAGACGGTGGAAAAGGATAAACATTCGACAGCCAGAATGAAAGGGTATTTTTCTTTTCCTGCATGAATTCTCAAAATGCTGGAATATATTAAAATGAAGCCAAAGCCTTAACTGATTTCTTCTGACAGAGCTTGCATTTGAGACTGGGCTCAGCATATAAACCATCTACAAAAATAAATCTTAAGTAACTGTTTTCACAGTTAAACTCTGATATCAAAGTAGATAATTCCTTGCCCCATTTAGAGCAGGACAGTGATTTTCATCATCTTTTTTCTTTATGGATAAGGTTTTGCTATAGAAGAGAATATCAGGATGCAAGGGGATGTTTATCTTTACAGGATTTGCAGGAAGTTTCAACTTCAGGAGATCAATGATCTCCCTCAGCCATCACCAGATGGATCCTTCAGCTCACTAAATAAAACTTCTGAGGAAATCCTCTACACAACATTTTAAATATGAAAGATACAGAAACATAGCAAAAAAATCCTATGTTAAAAATTTGAGCAAAAATTTAAAGCAGTCAAAATATTTCAGTATTCTCCATGATATTTTATTTCTTATTCATACCAGCCTAGTTTAAAATTTAAGGTAACTCCAAAATTTAAACTAGCAGGTTAAAATAGTAACATTTTGAAAACAGTTTTGAATGAAAGGTCTGAAAATCCAGCCTGACCTCCTGAAGAACACTTAAAAACCATTTATTCCTGTCCATGTGAAAGGAACATTTATTTTGTAATACACAAGGTCTATTCTCAGTTTGACGAAGTGGCTCGTTTTGCCAATAAAGAATTTTCCTGCCAAGAACTAACCTGCTGTTAAGGATGTGGGCATGTGAAATTTGTGTGCTAATATCAGAGATGTACTTTTTGTTGGACATTTTTAATACTATAAACACATACTCATATTGTTTTAGAACATGCTGGATAAAAGGGATCCCTGGGCTCTAAATTTACAACTTTAGTGCTACAAAAGCATGTAAGTGTTACAAAAGCCAACATCTTTCAAGTAAAAGGCTTTTTTGTATTATGAGAAAAGGATCTTTCTCTTTCTTTATCTTCCAAGCACTTCTTAGCTTCTGGCATATTTAGGTATCTTGTGCTTAACCACCTGAAAAGCTTTCTAAGGAGAACATGACTGGTCTAAAATGACGGAGTGATCTGAAAACAGACAGCTGGACAAGAATATGAATATATTTATTGTACTTCTTTTTTTGGGGGGGTGGGGGATAAAGTTGTTTTCCCAGAGGAAGCCAACAACCTGACAGGGTGCTCACACCCTGACTTTCGTTGCATCTGCCCCCCCTGCAGATGCCCGTGGGCACACTGACCTGACCTGAGATGCCCAGGGAGTCAGCACCAGGGACCAGCTGTGCTGCACCAGCGCAGACTGCCCTGAGGCCAGCTCATGCGCAGTGAAGCATTAATCCACCTATTTTGCCTTCTGGGTCCGAGTTAACCTCTCTAAACTGCATTGCACTGCAGTGCAGGGGCACATCAGCCACTTGGTGCTAACTCAGGGGTCTTCTCCTGGTGGGACTTGCCTGTCTTTGCTCCCTCTTTCCTGGCCATCCTGAGAACACTCCGACTTTTAGAAAACCAGTGAGATGTTGAATACAACAATACCAATGGATGTCACCAAAAGGAAGTCAGAGGTGTATACTCTTGCTATTAGGATGTTGCTCAGTTTCCAAAAAAGGTGTCTAATGCCATCTGAGACAGCACAGGGTGCCTGGGACATCTCATTAGTGCTAGCAAATACAACATGAGCTCTATGGGAGACCCTGCTGGAGTAGCTGTAGCATCTGAACTGCACTAGATGCTCAGAGCTAGGCACTGAAGCCTTCTTCCAGTATTGTTACTGATGCCAGCCACTGAACCTGCAGGTGGGCCCAGTCCCAGTCATTTCCCCCAGCTGGCAACTATGGCCAGAGCTGCAGAGTCCCAGCAGCCAAACCAGTGAGCTGGTTCTGGTGGCTCCAAACCACAGGGAGGCACAGACAGAAAGGTGCTTGAGAACCTACAACTGGCCCAAGAAGCAAACCATCCAAATACAGAGAGAGCGGGGAGGAAACGTCTAGTTTGGTCAACTGACCACCCCTAGAGCTCTACCCAGATTGTGCACAGGTATTTTGATCTAAACTTCTATCAAACAACAACATTTTCATAAGCTGTAAGTGTGTAAACACATAATTACTGGATGAGCTTGAAACAGTTGTATTCAAACTGGTTATTAATTTTTATTGATGTGGACAGGGTTTGAACAATCTCAAAGAGATAAACTACGGCTGCTTTTTGCAGCATCTAGAAAGTGTTACCATGCCAAGAAAAAAAGATGTTCAGTCTTTTTCAAATTCTGGAAATTATCTTATAAAATACAAAAAATTAAAAATACCCCTCAAATTAAGTGTACAGTGTAAATTTTTCATATTGTTGGGAGACTGGCTGACCTGCAAAGTGTTGGTGCGTTGTTAGTATACAGTCTCACTGCTATATACTGCAATCTATCAGCTACTGTTAAGCAAAAGTGACATTCAGTTCCACTAAAACAGTTAGAAACAGCAAGTGTGAAGAGACTATATCAAATAAAGTTGTTTTCTCCCCTAATTTATAACCCACAAATCTAATTCTAAATTCCACAGAATCGAGTAAATGAGGCACAGCATTAATCCATCAGATTAAAATCTACATTATCATAAACTGAGAAGCCAACTCTAAAGATGATCTTTCACGTTCTGTAGAATTAGTCACTAAATACTAATTAATACACTGCAAAGTCTGATCTCGATAATAATGCTTACTTCTCAATGACATGCTAAGGCAGGGAAATAGTATACCCATGGTTTATGCAGCTTTGAGGAGTAGTAAATCTTATTTCCTCTATATAAATACATATAAATTTAATTATTATTATTAATTTCTATTAACTAACTGTGACTGTTAATGTCTTTTTTCTATATGTATTTGTTTCTACATATTTCCCTTGCAATGAATATTCCATAAATTTCTTTCTCCTCTCAGAAAAAAATAATTCCCAATAAGGAATTAAACTACATTTGTCTTCTTACTTTCCCCTCTGAAGCTACAACTTTAATTTTAATGATTCATTAGCTCTTTCTCCTGCACTTAAATGATGCTTACATGAATCAATTAATCCCATACGGCTGCACGTCTGAGATAGCTGCGATACACTGGTGGTGTGTGTGCCTTCCCAGTGGCCGCAGAAGGAGCTGAGGAGACCACTTGAGGCTGGATGAGATCAGTCCTGGTCACAGTGTTTGCTCTGTTCTTAGGTAAAGAAATGCTCCACTTCTCATTTCTTTTTTACAACATAAATCATTCCGCTTCTCAAGTACATCTCTTTCCAAAGTGAAGGTAGGCTCACGTAACGATAACACCTTTTTACAAAAAGGATTGGGATTTTTTCACTGGGTTCAGTATTGGCATGGACTGTCTCCACAGTTTTCTATGACTGGCTTACGCAGACAGCAGCATCCGAAAGGACGGATCCAACATATGCACAATTGTTGGTAACATTGTGTGCAAAAGGAATAAAGAAATGGTGACAGAGAGTCAAGTATCTCATAGTTCCTTTCTTCATCCTGCCAGACTCCATGTGGCACATGAAAATATCCATATGTGTATCTGACTTAACTATCCAGAGACAATTTGGGCCTGCAGTGCCCTGAGGTCTGCACCCTGCAAGCTGAGTCAGTCACTTCGACAGAGTCAAAGTTGGTGTGCACCTAAGGGGAATAAATTCTCTCTTAAGCTTTTAAGAAAGATGAAAGAAAAAGAACAAAAAAAAAAAAGGGAAAAAAATATTTGGATAATGATTTTTTAAAGGAACCGGGACTGATGAGCACTGTCAATTAAATGTTCACCTTTTCCAGAGCTAACAGAAAACTTTATGTTTTGTTAAAATTTTGTAAAAAGACCACCTGCTAGCCTTTAGTCCAGCGTACTGGAAAACTGAAATATATGTGCATGGCATTTTCTAAAATTACACCTAAAATCACAAGTTTCCCTCCAACCATAAGATTTCAGACATCTCTTTAATACTACTAGTGGTAAATTTTAGTTCTCATTTCTTGTGTATGTACCTAACATTAAAGATGGAACCAGAAAATACCCACAGTCACGGAATGTGGTTGCTCACAAGGGCTGAAGCCAATAATGCATTCCCTTGCAGTTCTGCAGTATTAACAATTGCAGTAAAATCCCGCCATGGTCTCCCCACTGGCCAACAGCTGCCAACCCAGGAGAAACCCCTCCACGAAGATAAATGGCCCAATGGGACTCCATTTCTTAGGGACCTGCTGGGCTGCACCCCCTGAATACAAGTGTCATGAAGCTCTGATGGCAATAAACCAGGGAATCTTGTTAGTCACTGCAATGGTGATGTCAGATGCTTCAGTTTTCTCAATGGTAAAATGAATTAACCAATTATTAAAATGTCCATGTCTGCTCGCTGGTAGGAGTTAGCACAAATTATTTATGAGGACTACAAAGGTTTTCAGGTGTGCTGAAGTAGCTTTCTTGCTAGAAACTCAGTTGTGTGTATTAGAGAAAAAGAAAAAGGTGGTTCCGACCTGTCGTGCCTCAGTGCTCTCATATCAACATACACTGTGGTGGGGTCCGGTCCAGATGTTCCCTGCAAACAACAACAGCAGCTAATCAGAAACTGAAGGCTGGGAGGAGAAAAGAGTTTTACCCCCCAAATAACTGAACGTTCATTTTACTGCTGATTATGCTACTCAAATGACAAGTTATATTTAAGCTACTCATCAAACAAAGCTCAGCTTTACAGAATCAGCAAGAGCACTGGGAAACATACCTACCGTCAAGTACATGTTACCTTGGGGTTTGGAAAAACATCAAGCGGCCGTACTACTTAACCAAACACATGTCAACATAGGTTTTATTTGCTACAGAAGGCCAAGTAATCAGCACATGTGTACATACAAAAGATGTTAAACACATTTTGCCATATAAAAGAAACATGGAAATTGCTGAGGAGACACAGTTTAATGGCAGAAGCACATGGTCAGGAATGTGAAGCATGGTTTACTGAGAGTCTTCCATACATGCAACAGAGACCGTACTTGAAGCTAAAGATAGTAAAGGTAGCACGCATGACATGAACCAATGTGGACTGAAGCGATTATTCTGTTCCTTTTCAGTCTTCCACTGGGTAATTTAAATCCTCGCTTTATGTCACAAACTGTAGCTACTTGAAAAGCAGGAGACTAATTTTAGTTTCCTTTCATGCAGAGATGATCCAGTCTTTTAGGCCTTTCCACCCACAGCTTTGCTGCAGTTTTGTAACCTGTTATGATCTTCCCTTATCCAAAACTCCAAACTCATCACCACTGAACACCATGTGGATTCTCAGTGCTCTACTCTAGGGCTTTTTCTCTGCTGCACACCTCACATCACTGCTGAGCAGAAAGCTACAAGAAAAGCATGAATTCATTTCGGAACATTGGAGCTTTGAAAATTTTCTTTTCAGCAGATATATTCACCTAATCCTGGCGATCTACAGGTGTAGGAACTCCTTTATCAGTTATTTAGATATTTACTACTTAAAACAGTAGGCAAGATCAAGTCCCAGTGATTTCTGTCCCTTTTGGGGCATATTTAGAGTATAATTCTCAACATTATGAATGTCTAGGGCTAATTCTGCATTTCTGCAATGCTGGCTGGTAGTTCCACAATTTGTTGAGCACTAAAAAAAAGCAATGGAGTTCCACAAATAGGTAATTTTTGTATCTAAAAGAGAAAAGAGTCACCACTAGCAATTGATACTTACTGTACAGATACTGACAGTAGCCCACCACCAGAGGAGAAAAAGAGTAATACAGCTGCACATGCATGTTAGCCTCTTTAGCTTGTTATACACAGTACAAGATACAATATCCTCTCTAGCTATTAACGACACGATTTTCTACTAGTAAACTACTAGTAAACTCAGCAGTGTAACAGACTAGTGCTGAGTGGAGAACTTAATTGGAATATATGCAATGTTAAAAAAAAGACAAACCAACAAAACCAAGGAAAAATTTATTTTAAAAATAAAACTAACCCTGAATTGATTTATAAAATAATGGAAACAGTCAAGTTTGAAAATCAAAGACGATCACTATGGTATTTGTTATTTGTGAATGAAATTGTTACAACAGACAGCTAATATTTGATGAAACCTGCATCCAGATAAAGCTATACTGGACATGTTTGTAATTTTATAGAAGGATCTGAAAATCCCCAAATCTCCAGACTCAATTTCTAGTCTGTCCCACTGTTGGAAGCCGATAGGTGGGTATTGAGGGAACATGAAAATCCCCTACCTGCTCGGCCAGCTTCCCCAGCCTGTGAGGCTATAGCAGCAGGGATAGGAGGGATGGGGGGGG